TCCATTGTTGAGCAGATTTGATCTCTTGTTGGTCTTACATGATGCAAGAAATGAAGAGTGGGATAGGTAAAGAGGCATTTAGATTTGTTGTTGCTGTTGTGAGTAGAACTGATAATTGAGAGGGTACGGAAAGAAAGGGAAACAATTAGAGTTGTAAATCCCATTTCCCAGCCCAGATTTTCCCCAAATCTCATTTCTAACCTATTTGGTGAGTTTATGTTAGTCACAATGCCATTTTTTTGTTTGTGATTTCCAATTTCAGTGACCAAAATTTCATTTTCTCCGTTAAAAAAAAAAAAAAAGGAAATTTTATCCTCCATTTCACACCATCGAGCCTCTAATTGAACCAATAAACCGCACTACTACAGGGCGTGAAATTAACTTTTTTTTCTGATAGCCACTTGGCTCCTGAATTCTTCAAAGTGGTAGCCAATTCAAAAAAAGTTGGTCGCCATTTTCAAAGACAAACAAAATCTTTCTTTACGCTGTCAGCGTTCTAGATAGACCCTCCAAAATTAAGTTAGGGAAAAGATCTTTAACGTGCTACAAAGTGGACACTAGGATGGATGATATACAACTTTCAGGCTAATCTAAATCCAAGATGGCGTCTAGTTATCGATCGAGATGCATGTGCTACGTTTTGGAAACAAACTTAAAGTGAAAGTTTGCCGCGGATTTATCTTTGCAAATCTTTTTAATTCACTATATCTCTTGGTAAGGTTATGATGAAACGTTCTAGTCGCCAATTTGGCGACTAACTTTCAGGATTTGGTCGCCAAAGTGAAAAATTTAGGCGCATTGGCGCCTGTATTAGGCGCATTGGCGCCTGTATTAGGCGCAATTTCACACCCTGTACTAATTTCCAAATCGAGCGTAAGACTTAAGAAAACTCGGCACTCACATCGGGCATTTTTCAAAAGGTTTTCCGATCTCGAATGTAAAGTCACACAACGATTGAAACCTTTGTTGCAATGCTCGCGAAGGGAATTGAAAGAGGATTCAAATTCGGGTTGAATATGTTCCCTAAAGGAGTTGGGCCTCGAGTTCAAAACGTCCAAATTTTCAAGGGTTATCTTAACTTAAACCATCCCCAGGTTAACTTCATGCGAAAAATAGATGCTGTCCTGGCAGTTGATTTTGTACTATTTTGCATTCGTTTCAATTGCGCTCTGAAATACATTATGCCGGAGTTTAAAATTTCTATGTCGATAGTTCGGCATAAACCTAGTAAGTAATCTGGGGGTAACCCTTTATTTGAGGGTTTCCCTTTGCATAATTAACTTTTGCTATGGGAATAAGTTTACACCAGGACTTCTTGTTTTGTTTCAGAATTGTATCATCGTTCATTTTGGAGGGTAAAGGCCTCTCTACAACAGCCTCTTCATCAGAACCACTTTGGAGCATGGAAAAGATGCAAGCTTATTTCTGTTACGTTAAAACGCTGAAGCCTCAACTCACACCAGAAAGCAACAGGTCTGTGTTATAAGTGCACTTATGTAAACTTCACTCTTTACTTACCGGGCTAAGTCGTGTTGAAAGGGGGTGAGTTTCTGAAAAACTGTGGTGCTGCGTCGGTGGGGAGTATAACAAGAAAGCTGACATTTCGAGCGGAAGGGCTAACGCCCGAAATATCAGCTTCGAAACTCATTACGGGGACCAATTTACATTATCAACTCAGCTGATAAAACCAAAATTATCTAAGTCGTTGAGACGCGATGGGCTCTTGTTACCGGGACAGGATTCCACATTTAGAGGTTTAGGGTCGAACAAGCTTTTGTTTTTCAAGGGCAACTCATTATCACAAGGTTTTGCGGCTGAAGTTTTTTGCGATTTTGCGCCTGAAGTCGTAAATGGCCGATCATTTGGTGTTTTTCGGCAAGAAACTTCATCCTCATGGTGCAACATATTGTCTACATAACGCAGTATTTCGTAATTAGTGTTAGTGAGTAGCGTAAGCGTTAGTGTAATTAACTTTGTATTTGTTTGTATTATTCTAGTATTTGTGCTTTAAGTGAAAATTTAAAAAAAAAAAATTAAAAATAAAAAAAAAAAAAATCCTCATGGTGCTACCATCGCTACTATCCACCCAGGCGTACAAATAGATACCAGGAGGCGTCCAGGGCGACAAACCTCGCGGGGAGAGGGGGAGGTAACAATACTCCAAGTCGAGAGAGAAACAAACGAATTCTCCTTCACCGCAAATTGAAATATTTCAACCATCCCAGACAATAGGCTGAAAGGCAGTTAGCAAAAGTTTGATTTATGTATAATCCAAGTTCAAGATGGGGTTCTTAATCTCTTTTTTTTATGAGCTCGAACTGGAAAGTGCTACGGTGATACTGGTAATGCCTATCAGCAAGTTTTTTTACCGATACAAACTCGTCAGACTAAAGTTTTTACCTGGTAACTGGATGCTTCTTATTTAAGAATCGTCCCTTTTCTGTACATAGGCTCTCGAATAGATTGGATTATTGAATGTGTATTCAATTTGCTTGCAGAATCTTGAGCCGTTATTATCACTGTCAACGGCAGGCAGACCTTCGCAATGCAGCACGGACCACCATCAGGTTACTGGAAAGCCTTATAAGACTAGCACAGGCGCATGCGCGCTTGATGTGCCGTGAATTCGTTACTGTTCAGGACGCCATCACTGCTGTCACTTGCGTAGAGTGCTCTATGCAAAATAGTGCCTTATTGGGCAGTATGAACGCTTTACATACCAAATTCCCGGAGGACCCTCAAGAAGAGTACTCGCGCCAGGCCAAGCTCGTCCTAAAGCGATTGCAGCTTGATGATATGGTGGCAGCTATTGATGAAGCACAGACAACTGGAGCCGGGAACGATTCTTACGTTAGCGGAAGCGACGTTGAAAATAATAATCAGGATGCGCATGTCGATACGCGCGCCAATGACAAGGATAAAAAGAACAGTTCCTCCAGTGATGAAGAAAACCATAAACTCACCAATGACAGCAATGTCTCTAAAGATTTCACCGAGTTATATTCTCCCGACCAATTAACAGGAGTCTTTCCAATCGCATCTTCGAATGTTGGAACGGATACTCTCACGGAAAGTGTTTTAGATAAAGTGTCTGTTTGTGAAAAATCCGTACGAAGCGAAGAGACAAACAACATAAACAATTCAAACGGGAGGACCTCCTTAAGAAACCCTTCAGCTTTGAAAACAGTTTTAAACAGCAATGAAAATGTCAATTTTGCAAGTAGTGCTAACGGTTCACGTATATCCTCGTTCTCGTTGGAAAAAAGCAAAAACATAATTCAAATGTTTTCAAAGAAACCGGTTATTGAAGCTACGACAACTGTTACGCGAAATAGCAGCGGAGCCCCTCAGAAAGAGAACTGCAATATTTTTACGACAGAGGAACTCGATGACGCAGATCTTGAGGTAGAATGGCCCTCTGATGTTCTGTCTTCGTGTGCGAAGGAAGGGAACGGTAATTCAAGAAACGTGTTAAGAGTGACAAACAAGACGTACAAATAACTTGATGAGATTTAACTCGAATGGAAAAAGAAATTTACTTTTTACTCTCCGAAAAAGGCAGTTGGGTAATTTATTTTTCCCTACTAGCAAATGGTGGCCATTATTCCTTTCTCGATCTTAGAATTTCAGGCGGAATGCAATTTTATTGTATTTTCACTTAATGTGAAGCGTAACTGGCAAACCAAGAGAGCCAGTCAATATTTATCGCCAGAGGAAGGGGAGGGTTGGACGATTTTTTTTTTTTTTGGGGGGGGGGGGGAGGTGGAGGCACAGTCGTCGCCAACGCAGTACAGAGGGGCACTTATTTCTATAGAAATTGACCGCCAATTAATTACCAGTGAGGAGGATCATGAAAATATAAAAAAGCCTTATGAGGGATCAGGTAATTGTGTTCGTGAAAAAACCAAAATCCAAACAAAAACACTTTAGTGTGGTAGGGGCATAAGAAATTTGGTTGTTCCGTTGCGATGTAAAATTTTTAGTGTTGTTGTTGTTGTTGTTGTTTATCCAAGCACTGTTAATATTATAAGTACTGCTAATACTCCTGTTTTGATATTGTTGAGGGTAGTGCCGTCGCCATTGTTATTTTTCGTAGCATTCTAAATTATGAAAGATTCTCTTCATTGTTAATGAAGAAGTTATAATTGACTTTATCTGACGTGGGTATTTCCAGCGAGCTGATGATGCCCATCAAGAGGCAGCAAGAGACGATGAGTCATTCAAAAATTCTTTGAGAATGGGGGAAGGAATGCCCTGACACAAAGCTTTGCTCTTGAGAAACAGTTTGAAACTTAATTGATGGTTCCCTTTATCGAAATGGCTTTTTTAAGGTTCACCCTATTGCAAGTTTACCAGTTCACGGCGAACTCGCCCTATAAAATGTAACAAGTTCGCCCTTACCACATAATAAACCAAATTATTGTACATTCAACTCACTATCTCTCTTCTGATCAGCTGAAAGCGTACAATGAATCTTCGAAATCAGCGCCTGGGACGTCATATAGCTTCAGATTATACATTAATCATGTCAAGGACACTCAAGGTTACAAATAATAATGTCATGTAGGACGGCGGCGCATGATTTCTATGGGTAATCATGTCAAGTTCGCGCGCTTTGTGTTGCTTGCTGATTTGTATATTTTTACACGTTTAGAAATTACCAGTTCCACTTACTGTCGTGACTATTTTTTTCCGTTCACTGTATAATAAAACAATTATTAGATGCGGTTTTTGTGATATCGGTAAGGGTTACCAGCTTCAGCCTTCGACTTCGACTTCGGCCAATAACCCCTACCTTGACCTTGATTATTCTGGATATCATAAAAAAAACCCTGATCCGACAATTGTCTATGATAGGCTCACTTGGGAACGTTTTAAATGACAAGAATTTTTAATAATGCACCCACACGAAGTTATTCAAGCCACTTGCTGTTGTAGGGAATCAAGGTCCCCGTATGATTTCCCTATCGTCGATAGAACTGAATGATTTTCGATTCATGTCTTGTCACGGTATAGTTTTATTGATAATTCACACCTTCCTTACTAAATCAGTAACAGTGCCTATGCACTGTCGAGGTCATAGGTAGCGTCGCCATTCTGCACGGTCGTCCCCGAGTTCCGTTGCGTCCCCTCCCCCATCCAATTATTGACTCAAATTCACTAAATGTTTCAAACGTGTCTTGATATCAGTTTTTAAGCTTGGAGGTTCGAAACCCTCAACCAATGATCGCAATGTTGCGTAATATTGGTTAAAGATTTTGAAACTCGAGCTGACGAACCTCCCGCCTTTAAACTTGTGTGAAAATACGTTCAAAATGTTAATTTAACTTATGTCAAAAGTTGGGGCGATGGAACTTTATAAACTAGAGGGCGTCGGAACCTAAGGCGACTGTGGAAGGGGGCGACGTCACCTACAATCCGCTATTGAAAATTAGGTGAAAGTTCACAAGCTGAACTATGAAATATTTCTAATTTACTAAGGATGAACTCTATCACTGACCAGATTAACTTTGGTCAAATGATAATTTAGATAATTCATATATTGTAATAATGATCGAACGGAACATAATGTACTGTATATTATTTTGCTTACTTGAGTTACATGACTAATTTTATTCACTTTACAGATAGGAAGTAACTACGAATGGTAAAACGTCTAAGCCCTAAATCAGTATAATCCGTGGGGGGGGGGGGGGGGGTTATTTAGAAAAAAATATTAAGCTCAGGGATTCCCTCGGTAACCAGATCTCCCACGATCAGCTATAGTCACGGGTGAGATCTGGGTTCAAGAGTACCTCAAGAGCTTATCGACTAGAGATCACTAGCAAAAACACATCCACATCCGCTGTCAAAAGTTTCTTTTCGCCTTTGGACAAAAGGGGGTGAGAATCCCCAGTATACGACAGTTCTTTCCTCAGTTAGTGTATGGCAAAAATAAGTAACAGATTCCTTTACAGTACAGATCTGATGGGGTTTGTCTTCAAACATATAAACGTCAGAGTCATCCACGTTCGTAGAGCACCGCTTTTCAGGAACATATCGCTGCGCTGGCCGAAACATTTTGTTGCCGATCCAAATGTTTTCTAGGGGTTTGTGGGAATGGTGTTCATGACACAAACCATGAAAGTGGTCTCCGTAGTCATCGGATTGAACGGTAGTAACTGTGTTGGGAAGCTGGTTTCTGAAATAAAAGTAAACTTTATTGTTCATGATAATCCTAATATGCTCTCATGACCAAGTTTATTTTGTGGCAAACTAAGCAAAACACAAATAAAGAAACCACAAATTAAAGCCAACAAGGTGTGTAAATACTGACTCAAAGTGACATATGATTTGCGTCACAACTACAGCCCCTATTCACTCAGCCGAAAAACCCAGTCTTCCCAGAAGACCAGGCAACAACGGCGCCGATGCCAACGGCGATAATGTTATAGCCTGGTCATCATTCTCAGACGGGAGGAAGGATTTTAGCCGAGCGGCTGAAGACTCTCTGGGAGTCTGGTATAAATCTGCTTGCATGACCGGCGTGCAGAGAGGAGGGATATGAGAAAGATTAATTCGTGGTTGTTTCACGATATTTGGGGTCGGAACATTTGGATCCAGATTCCAACGACTTAGCTTCTGAATCGACCTTTGCAAGGGCGTACAAGTTAATTTGGTTATCTCAAAAGAGTTGGTAATTTGATTTAGCCACCGTAAAATAGATTCCAAAGCTAATGTTTTGAGCGTTAGCCCTTAGTCAGATGGAGTCCGGATTCGCAGCACCACAGCTTTTTCAGAAACTTACCCCCTCTAAAAAGGGCGAACGCAGGATTTTTCAAAAGGGAAGGGAGCGTGTGTCTTTGGTTAGTTACTCTGTGGTATCAAAAATGATCACTCTCTCACGACAATGACGGGTGTTTACAAGTACACAAGGACTACGCCCCGTTGACTAAGACCCTCGGTCATAATCTACAGCTAAAGAACTCTTGTAGAGGATATAGAAGTGAGGCTTAAATATTAAGCAAATTAAACAAACTAAGCATGACCTGGCGGGACTACGACATGATCGAGTCCAAAATGAAAGCCAAGATGCGACTATGGACACATGGGTGGGAGGGTCACATGGTTTTAAAGGGGAATGAAAGGGTAATCGTCGCCAAACGAGTGTAAAGGGAGACTATAGAAAAGTCGAATGCCAATTTATTACAAATGAGGAAAGGTCATACGAATAGTACAGAGCCTTATGGCATATCAGGTAAATTATCGTAACAATGAAATCTTCTGCCCCACCCCCCACCCCGGCGATAATTAACCACCGGTTACCACATGCGTTGTAGCGAGGGGAAAAAAACCACACAACCACTTTTTTTCTTTTAAATACACTTGTTAATGACCTCAGATGAAATGCAAATCCAACTGTATGTGGATTAGTCAACGCCGCGTGCACAGCACGTGATTATCAAATAAAGACGACATGCGGAACAACATGTCCAAGTAGAGATAAGGAAATTGTGGCCAGATGTTAACTGTTCTGCAGAAATTATTCTGCCGATACTATGTCAAATTAAAACAATATCAGCATTCCTTTTAAAATATCCCACGTGTGCAAGAAGCATTATGTTCAGAATACAAGAAAACTCAATGTTTCCAATTTTTTACACAAGCCCCAATCCCGCCCTTCCCTCGTCAGATTAATATCAAAAAAAGCAGATGGTGACAAATGATTCGTTAAGGTTCACTGTGTTCTGTTTTCCGCATTGTATAGATATTATTCTAACCCGCCCGTTCTAGATTAAGTGTGGAATATAATCGAAATACTTAATCTCCCTTAAGTAAAATGTCTTCTCGTGTCGGAGCAAGTTTTTACTATATTCAGAACAGTCTTTGCCCAGTTGACAGGACATTATTCTGGAGTCGAGGAAGCTTTTAGTTTTCTTTTCAAATAGCCTGATCTTTAAAATAAACATTTAACACACTCTTTCAAGCATTTGAGAGCTAGTTGTTATGTGGTAAAATTTTACACATGGTAGAAAGTCTGCGGACTGCAATTCAACACACACAAACCTTTTGGTTGAATCCTCTGATTTCCTGCTCCCGATTCGCTTTAAGAAGCTCCACTTGTTAGGGGCAGTTTTGTCACGGGAATTTTCAATTCCGTCAAGAGCCAGGGAAACACCCAGCGACAGCGTGAGAACCAGGAAAATCTATCGGCGACAAAAACAAAATCTAATAGTGAATGTTAAATTAAAAAAAAAATGTTGTACACATTTGTCCTGTTCAGGATAATAACGCTTATACTCTTCAATTGCCAGGAAACCTGCCTCCTCTCATTTCATTCGCTTTTATTTTTAATTTCTCTGTTGTTTGTTGAAACCACATTTGTTTTGGTATAAGCTGTGTTTCATGTGAAGCTTATACCGGGCGCCATGATCAAGACGGATCATCTCCTTTTGCAACCAGAGAATTTGTCGAAAGTTCAGTAAGTTTTCCTTATCAGAATTCCATCGTGTGACTAGTTTAAATCACAAATACAGATCATCGAGAGCCTTATCGCTAAGAGTAACCACCGAAAGAAACTTCAACAGCCTTGTTGGCTTATTTTTGAAGATTCGAATATGTTTTGCAACGTCACTACGACCCGAGAAAAAGCGAAGTATATTTGTAAACAGCCATCTTGTCGCCGATGCCGGTGCGCGCAAATTAGTGTTCCAGTTGCCTACAAACCTCAGTACTGGCGAAAATCGTTCGAATTTTACTTACCCTTAGGTTTGCCATGTGTAAATCGTCGATACAATTACCAAGGTTTGTTTGAATAACAAATTCGCTGTAACAAGCTGTTGTTACCGTCAGCGCCAATACCTCTTGATATGGATTACACTTTAAACAACACGACTTATATATCTTCGAGTTGCATCGCTAGTAATTGAGGTTGTTAGGACTCATCAAACATATTGTTCTTCAGCAAGTCAGGCGTAAATCACACAATCACTGTCATAAAACTGTCACGAAAGCAGTCATAAACTGTTCTGAAGTCAAGCAACCAACATCTAAGTCTTCTCTTGAACCAACCATACAAACCACTACATACAAGACTACCTTTTCCAGAAACTCTTTGTAATTTACAACAAGAAAATCGCCGGCATTAAACCTATATCGTTATTTGACGTAATGTATATCGTGTCTTTCTACGTTCTACGTCCGGTTAAAAACCCCTATGGTCAACTCTACGACAATGTATGCGGCTGTCGTCTGTGAAACGCTTGACTTATTTTGATCATATTCATATATTTCGTGTTGCCATCTGATATTGCTGAGAAATTTCGAAACGCGAGCCGACACACGAAACAATTACTTCTTTGGTTCGTTTCCTTTGTTTATCGTCGGACGATTACTCCAGAGCGCTATAGTTGTCACGGTTTTACAGGCCTTCAGTTTTCTGTTTTCATATCATGCATATCATTAATGTCCAAGTTTTGCAATTCACTTTACCGCGTTTGCATTTCAAGAGTCCTCAAAGGTTCTGTCGTCTAAGCTTACTCTAGTCTTAAACTTTTCTTTCAAAGCCGTTCCCAAACTTTCATCGCAATTTTTTACATGAATAGAAATAGGAAGAACGAGAAGTGCTCCTTAGGATAGATTCGCACAGATATTCGTCCTGTTCGAAAACAGTTTCCTCCATTGCCATGCACAGCTGTAGTGTAAACAGTGACTAATATTTACATCATCGTAATTGTAATCAAGTCAATTTTTCAGGACCGGCTACTTCGAGTTTAAGCTCTGCTTGGAGATTAGCGAAAACCTCTTTTATTTGAATCAAGAAACTTGACATGTTTTGATGTTCCTGAAGTCAATTATTAAAACTTTCCCTGAACACTGACATATTCACATTCATCTTGCGACGATAGGTCAATGACTGGGCTAGTTCATTCTGCCGAATTTCCTGTTTCGATAGACCAATGCGGAAAAAGTGCATGTAAATTACGCAGTCAAGGCCAAATACAGACTCTCTTTCTGTTCAATGACTTGTAACTAAATAGTGGAACCGCTTCTTTGATGAATACACGCATAGGCCTGTGACGAAACAGATCTCATGATTCACAAGCTTAACTCGTTCCATCCCAACATCCCCAATGCTCTATATATTATTTTCTCTCAACCGGAAGAGTCTGCGATATGTTGTATTCGTCATAAAGATGTTTGTATGAATTTGCGGATACAATAAACAACGGATTTTGAGCAATCAGAAACCGCGAAGTATATATCTCACTTACGTTAAACTTTTTGATAAAAGCACTCAGGGTTAAAATATCTAAAACTTCCTTCCCGGAGCATTCGGCAGTAAAGCCCATGCTGCAGAGGATGTCACACATCCTTTAATTTCTTCAAAAAAGAAAGGGGATAAATGAGCGCAGGAAAGGCTGCCTAATTCCATCGGATGTAACATTGCAATTTCCTTCCTCCATTGCTATTTTAAAAGAGGAAGGAAATGATTAAAGATCTGCATGCAAGTTTGACAAACAATTTCACCTACTCTTAACTTTCAATTTAAAGCAAGATGCAATTAGGAAAGATTGGACTCTCGGTGAACTAAGTATCTTTAGTTGACTAACCACGTGTTATCATCGTTGTACAAATCAATCCATTTACTTAATTAACATGTTGAATATACTGTTTATAGGATGTTAACCAAACTTTATTATCTAAGCTATGCATGTGGACTGCAAGGGATTCCTTTTCCTGACTCATGTATTTATCTATTTGTCCGGTAATAATCTATTTTTTGTTTTCGATCTTGGTGCCGTCAAATTGGATCGTGGAGCAACCAACTGGGGCTATCTGTAAACCTGGGAATAGGAAAAGGCTACGCTAGTATTCTACGACGTTGAAAGTTGAAAATTTTATTCGAAACTCCGCTTATCTAGTTTACTTCGCTCTTAAATAGGTTGATAGATTAGAGCAATGTTCAATTAATTGTTGAGAGGAATCTAGGGCTACACAGGTTTTGCTTCACTTCGCCTTAACATTTCCCTCACAAATTTGGACCACCTTATTAACTACGACTCAGACATAGCGCTTTAACGTCGGGCATGCGCAAGTAGTAAAACTTTGCTAGTCGCAAGCCAATTTCTCGTGCAAAATTTCGAAGTAGGGAAAAAGAAATTGCAAGACTTTTCGAAAATAATGCTTAAACTATAAACTAAGGGTATCCTGTAGACTCGCCATTTCGTTTGAGATCTAGAGAAAATAAGTTGTCTTTGAAGCACCGTGATTTCCTGGGTCATGTGGTTGTTTATTTATACTCCTGTGGGACAACTTGGTTGTAACAGTATGATAACAAGCCTCCTATCCATTACAATGTTTGCTCATGCACAGAATATTGACCTTTGTGTTCGCAAAGCATCATAGGCGAAACTGAAACCGATCACCACATGGTTACAGCATACTCGTCAAGTTCTGATTGGTTCCTCCTCACGCGAACCCTTATTCTGATATGGCTGTTGTGAATTTGTAGGTTTGACCCTTGGAAACGCAATTTTACTCGGACTAAGACTTATGTCTTACGGTGGCTAATTTACGTTTTTTATTCAGTTGTTAACACTAAATTACACGTTAAGACTTATGTCTGTTTATGTCTACTCATTCAGTGGTAAACAAATAAAACTGAAAGAGAAATAAAAGCCATTTCCGATCGTAATCACGGGATAGTTCAGGAGCAGGATTCAAGCTCATGGCTCGATCCGTCATTGGGTTTCTTTCGTAGTAAAATCATCGGTCAAACACATTGCAGTCCAATTTTCTTTTGATCAACATGTCTTTATCAGCGGTATCTTTTGCGATTCGTGCGCCAGATTTACTAGTTCTGAATTCATCTGCGCAATAACTGGTAATGGAGGACTCCCTGTCTAATTGCTAGCGTGAAAATAAACACATAAGTTTCCTACTCATCCAGAGATCTGTAGACAATTTTGTGGGCTTTGGATTAAAGGAATTTTCACTACTGAACATGAACTAAGCGAAGATTTTATACACGCAAATTTTTTCGGTTTTCTACTATCGTTTGCTTCGATCAAGAACATTCATAGCTACCACTTCTTTGAATCAAGATGTTTCACAAGGGAGGACCTGGAAAACAAAGAGGTTTTGGTTTTGGAGGATTTTCTCTAGCAGCAAAGAAAGAAGATCCCCTCCCAGCTAGTATAGGGAGCGGCATGCCCGTCAGTAGATCAGGTGGAAGTGCAAAGAAAAATCATTCATCCCATGGCCAGGGATTCCACGGTACTTCATCGTTTCCTTTGCCAGGAGCCAGGAAACCGTGAGTCTTTATGCTTAATGATCAACTATTTTTTACATTATTTTGATAAAAGAATGTATTAGAATAAGATCGTCATCAAAATTAAGTCAACAGTGAAATTTCGCTTCGTCTTAAGTTCTATGTACACTAGAGGAAGTTTACCGCTTTAGTTACTTCGAGTCATAGCTATAGCTTGGTAATAAAATATTCGAGCTTTCGGTAGCTCAATATCTTTTTGGTGAAATCCAATTTTTCTTTGTCTAAGTACTCTAACATTCCAAGCTGGCCAGCTCACCAAATTCCTCTTTTATATGTACCACACTAGTCAAGTTTTTGTAAAACGTATCAGAGGGGGTTAGTTTTTAAAGAAACTGTGGTGCTGCATGGGTGGGAGAGGGATCAAGTGATATGATAATGTAAATTGGCCACCGTAAAGTGTTTAAAAGCCGATGTTTCAAGCATTAGCCTTTTTTCAATTGCTCTGATGAAGGACTAATGCTTGTAATGTCAGCTTTAAAACTCTCTACAGTGGCCAATTTACAATATCAACTCAGTTGATAATGTTTAATAACTCGTTTATGGTGAGAGACTCTATTCCTCTCTCAATTTTTTAAAATTTCTTGTTACCAACATTGACAAGGGGGAACAATGCAATGTTTTAACAATTCTGATTAGGATTATAGTTATCATTCGGCAGAACAGCACATCTTTGTTTATCAATGTCAATGGTGATTTTTTTTAATTGTTTTTTTTGCCCAAATGACAAAATGGCCATCCTTGGTTGAAGGGAGGATTTGTTTCCTTACAATATTTGGCTGTCCTTGTGAACTGATCAATGCAAACCAACAAGGTTATCCCTGCTGGAAAACTTCCCAATTAATTAAACAAAACTATTTAACATTTCATGCTCATGAAGTTTCTATCAGGTGATAGTATTTGCCCCATTAGCTTTCAGGCATAGAAAATAAGAGTGAGTAATCAAATTGTTTCAGTTCAAATCTTCTTGTTTAAAATTTAACATTGAGACATGTTCATGTTTTCAGCTTAGTTTAATAACAACTGCACTCTGTCATCCTACTCAATGTACCCACTATTATGGAATAGATAAGAAGTCACATAGCCAATTGGACTTTAGCATTTTTGATAGATGCTAGTAGATTTATACTTATTATTTTACTTTTAGAATCTTTGTCGATAGTGATAATGAGGATGATGAGACAAAATTTGTTGATGATGATGATGAAAGTGAAGACATACCATCCAGTCGCAAATTGGATGATGATGATGATGAGGAGGATGAGTTGGACAAATTCATGGCAGGAATACAGGTAAGATATCTTGTTTAGTTAGCACAGCTACCTTAAAAAAACTATGAACTCTAGGTGGTCTGTTGAGGTTGTATCATGCTTCACATGGAAATATTTAGTTAGTAAAAAACTACTCTAGTTCTAAGTGCCCAATCATGTCATTGCCATATTCTTGTGTACACAGTGACCCTTAACCTTTTAACTCCCAGAAGTGATTTACATGTAACTTCTCCCTACAATATCCATACACCATCCCACAAACAGTTAATGAGATTACTCAAACTTATCAGTTAGAGGTTGTTATCATGATATAACACCAAATTCTTATAACCAAGTTACAAAGAAATGTGTAACAGCTAGA